AGCCGGGGTCAGGTGCCCTCTGATTGAAAATGGCTCGCCCTCCGATTAAAGTCTCCATGGCCAGAGCGGCGCAAATCTTTTGAGAACTCCGCGGAGGGAGGATCAAGGCAGTGCATTCAAAAGTTTGTCCAAAGGCATGCCTTGGGCATATGCCAAGGTTGCCCCCCCCTTCTCCAGCTGTACGGGAGGTAGTTAAAAGCTCCCAGATCTAAGTGGAGCGCCACTTCTTTCCACAAGGTCCGGAAAGCAGCTGGGGAACAATCTACCAAATTATCATCAGGCCCACGTCGTTTAGGCAGGAAATGCCAGCTTGCTCTGAAATGAGCACTTTCTCACTGGGCTGAAAATTTTGTTGCGCAGTTTTTGTATCATGCAAAAACACCATGGCCGACTGGCCGGAATGCTGCGGAAGAACAACATCACGACGGCGCAACTGGAACATTTCGCCAGTTCGCAACCGCCCAGCCCACAAAGCGTGAGTTGCGCTAAACGCGGGCGCTGCCATTTCCACAGCACACCTGCACAGGCCAAAGCTGCTCTGGGTTCAGCGGCGTGGCCCTTACGGGCTCCTCAAGTTTGTTCCACAAAGCGACAAGCTGCCACGGCCCTTTGAGTTGGCCCTTCAGTTGTGGCTTTCGGTACTGTACAGCAGCCAACACATAGTTTGCCATCGTCTTTGGCTCGCCTTCTTCCCACAAGAATTCTATGTATTGGTTCAAGATTGTTTCAAGTCCTGACTCACTCAGCTATACGTCCACCGCAGTTCCTACAAAGTTTGCTAAACTAAGGAGTGCCACATAGCACATAGCGCTCAAAAGTGTTGGGTGAGACTCTCTGGTCGCTCAACCTGCCTATCTTTTGTTGCTCAGCCTTGCGGTCTTGTTTTGTCTCCTTTCTCCTAACTACCCGTTCGGGCATCTCCCTCATACTGGCGGCTTGGAGCATCCGCTGGGTTAAACCGGGAAGCGATCCAAGCCCAAAGAGAGTACAAGTTCAGGGCGACACACAAGGCTGCGATCTTCCGCAAAATGCGGTTGATCTTGCGCGAGCTGCTTCTTCCCTTCGTCAACACTGCCAGGCAGATCTGCGAATCTGACGAGTGCAGGAAGCGCAGACCCAACGGCGAGGATCTACAGCGGTTCTCGCCACTGCATCTGGTCTAGACCACTTGGAGATCCAACCGCACATCGCTTCCCCTAAACTCCATTCTCCTCAGATACTGGTGGATCAAACGCACATTGACGAGTCTTGCGCCACCATCCTTTCCAAAGCTATTCCTGACAGTCGTAATCATTCCTCCTTCTTGAGGCTCTTCATCACTTGTTGCAAAGCCTCCTCTTCTTCTTTATCTCGCTCACTCATACTGATATGACTCGCGGCATCATCCTTTTCACCAACGCCATCAAAAGTTCGTTGCCCCATCTCTTTACGCCATCTTTCTACAATGGCTCTCGCTCCTTGGGATCTGTTCGCGCCTGCTTCTTCCACAGCCAGAGGTCCAGCAAGCACGCTACCACCACGGTATGGAAACTGTTTCCCAAGGCCGCTTCTCGAGCTACCGTCTGCTGTCGGTGTTCCTCACTAGTCGTGGCCTCTGTCCTGAAGAGAGCCAGGGTGTACCCATTTGGATAGCCCTTCAACCGCTCCGTTCAGTCACTGATTTTGACTTCATCTCCTTTGCTTTTGTGGAACAAGAACTCTGGTCTGCATGTGTCAGGGGGATACTTCATCTCATCTCCCTTCCAGGACCTTCCACCTTTCGATTGCGCTGGCATTGCAGTTGCCCAATCCAGCCGGACTGATCGGAGCGTTCTTTCTGGGAATGGCTCGTGTGAACGTTGGCAACCAAATATCCTTGTTCACTTCGGCTGCTGGCCAGATCCATCCTTCATCGCACACTAAGTTCAGAGGTTCAAGCTCTTCGCTGAAATCAATGACCTCATAGAGCTGGTGATGACTCCTTTGAAAGCTTGGACGGTCTTCCAGCCCCACATTACTGCAGTAGAGCCGCGGTCTCCGAACCCATGACAGGCCACTGGCACACACATTATAGCGGTCGGCATCTTAGACACTCACTCATCTCCTTCACATCTTCATCATCGCCTACCACATGTTCGACCATCAACAGCGACCAAATGTCCATCTCTCGCGACACATCTTCAATCCATCCCAGTACTTCGACGTACTTGTAGAAGAGTTGGGACCTCGGGTCCTCCAGGCGCTGTCGTGCTGCATATTCCCTGGCAGGGTGAACCTCCTCCTGCTATCACCCCGTCAGCCCGGTATACTTCTCACGCGCTTTTCGATCTCCGCCTTGGTCACCCTGGTGATATCAACTATCACATCACAGCTTGGCCATCTCGTTTTGTTGAGCCTCCTGCACTCAGGGTCCTTCTCGATGACTACCTGGCGATCAACTTTCTGTCCCGCTAATTTCAAGCGCTGCTGAGGCCTCCGATCCCAGCAAAGAAGTCAAACACTAGCATACTCTGTGGCTCATAGAGATTCACCCCTTCTCCTGGAATGTCCGCATCTCTCTCAATCCTCTGCTGGTCAACTTTGAACCATACACCGAATGTATCACCCTCCTTCTCAAACCCCAAAACTTCGCCGCAAAACCTTCTCTGCAAAGGTCATCATGTCTGGCCATCCCAGTGGCAAACCAAAGAGGTAGAAGGCGGACACCAAGGACTTCATCTGCGCTCATTCTTGCGATCTTCCCCTCTGGTAGAACGACACGTCCAG